TTCTTAATTACTGTAGCTTTATAGTAAGTCTTCAAGTCAAGTAGTGTCAGTCCTCCAATTTTGTTTTTCTCATTCAATATTGTTTTGGCTATTCTGGGTCTTTTACCTCTCTGTATAAACTTTATAATTTGTTGATATACACAAGATAACGTGTTGGAATTTTGATTGGGATTGCAGTGAAGCTATAGATCAAATTGAAAAGAATTGACATCTTGACCATATTGAGTGGTCTTATCCATGAACATGGAATATGTCTCCATTTATTTAGTTCCTCTTTGATCTCTTTCATCAGAGTTTTATAGTTTTTGTCACATAAATCTTGTTCCTATTTCATTAAATTTATACCTAGGTATTTCATTTTGTGGGAGTGCTAACATAAATTGTATTGTGTTTTTAACTCCAAAGTCCACTTGTTCATTGCTGGTACTGTATATAGGAAAGTAATTAACTTTTGGATATATTAACCTTGTATCCTGCAACCTTGCTATAATCACTTATATTTCCAGGAGGATTTTTTATTGATTCAGATTTTCTATATAGATTATCATGTTATCTGTGAACAAAGACAATTTTATTTCTGTCTTCCTAATCTATATACCTTTCATTTCCTTTTCTTGTCTTTTTGCATTTGCTAGGACTTCCAGTATAATGTTGAAAAGCAGTGGTGAGAGGGGACATCTTTGCTTTGTTCCTGATTTTAGTGGGAAAGCTTTGAGTTTCTCATCATCAAGTATGATGTTAGCTGTAGGTTTTTTATAGCTATCCTTTATCAGACTGAAGAAGGTCCCCTCTATTTCTAGTTTATTAAGAGTTTTTATTGTGAATGTGTGTTGGATTTTGTAAAATGCTTTTTATACATCTATTGATATGATCATATGATTTTTCTTCTTTAACCTGTTGATGTGATGGATTACGTTAATTGGTTTTCAAAAATTGAACCTGCCTTATATACTGGAAATAAATCCTGCTGGGTCATGGTGTGTAATTATTTTTATATATTGTTGGATTCAATTCACTAATATTTTGTTGAGGATTTTTGCATCTGTGTTCATGAGATATATTGGTCTGTAGTTTTCTTTTCTTATAATATCTTTATCTGGTTTTGGTATTAGGGTAATGCTGGCTTCATAAAATGAGTAGTAAGGTATTTTCTCTGCTTATATCATCTGAAAAATATTGTAGAGAACTGGTAAAATTTCTTCCTTAAATGTTTGGTAGAATCCACCAGTATACCTATCTATGCTTGGTGCTGTCTGTTTTTTAAGATTATTAACTATTGATTTAATTTCTTTAATATACATAAACCTATTTAGATTATCTATTTCTTCTTGTGTGAATTTTGGCAGATTGTATCTTTCAAGGAATTGGTCCATTTCATCTAGGTTACCAAATTTGTGGGCATAGAGTTGTTCATAGTATTTATTATTATATAATAAATAAGTATATGGTATGTTAGGTGATAGGTACTTTGGGAAGAGAAAAACCAGAACCAGCTAAATAAAATCAGTAGAGCAGGCAGGGGACAGGGTTGTAGTATTAAAAAGGGTGATCAGGATAGTTTTCATTGAGAAAGAAGTTTTGAAGAACCACTTGAAGGAACTGAGGGAGAAAACTATGCTGATATCTAGGTAAAGAGTTTTGCAGGCAGAGGATAAAACTAGAGCAAAGGCCCTTATGTGGGAGATGTTTGGTGTGCTCAAAGAACAGCAAAGTGAGACCAGTATGATTGGAGTGGAGAGAGCTAGGAGATGAGTTGCAGGAGATGAAGCAGAGAGGTAAGGCAGGGTAAGATTATGTTGTTCCTTGTAGACCACTATGAGAACTTGGGCCATGACATTGAGTGATAAGGGGCAATTGAAGGTATTGAATAGAGAAGAGATATCACTCTGGCTGCTGGGTGGCAAATAGACTGGGTGGGGGGAGATTCCAGATCATGTGGATTTGTATAGACCACTACAAGGATTTGGGCTCTAACTCTGAGTGGGATGAGGACATTGCAGTGTACTGAGTGGTGGAGAGACATGATAGGGCTTACATTTTAACAGGATCACTGCTGTGTTAAGAAGAGACTGAAGAGAGGCAAGGGTGGAAGCAAGAACCAGTTAGAAGGCTAGTATAATAATCAGGCAAGCTATAATGGTGACTGACACTAGGGTAGTAGCTTTTGAATTTAATAAAAATGGTTGGTTTCTTGATATATCTTGAAGGTAGAACCTCAAAGACTGGATGTGCAATACAAAACTGGAGTCAGTTATAACTTTATGATTTTTAGCCTGAGAAACTGAAACAGGGAAAGAAACAAGTGAAACAAGTTGGATGATAGGGGGAGACTGGCAAGTTGTTTTTAGATATGTTGTGTTTGAGATGCCTATTAGATGTCCCAGTGAAAATGTCAAGTAAGTTGTTAGAAATATGAGTGTGAAGGTCAGGTGAGAGGCCTAGGCTGGGGTTTATGAATTTGTCAGCACACAGATGATAAATCTAAGGGACTAGATGAGATCAACAAGAGAGTGAATACATAGAAAAGAAAAGGACCAAGTATTGAGCCTAGAGTCGTATAACATCTACAGATCATTGACAAGAGGAGGAACCAGCAAAGAAACTCTAAACAAGTGACCAGTGAGGTAGGAGGAAATCCAACAGAGTGAGATTCTGGCAGAGACTCTCATTTTCCAGGTGTCTGTTTCACAAGAGCATGAACGTGAATCCATTACTGGTGTCTTCCTTCACTTTGATCCCATCTGCATTCTATCTGTCATAAATCCCTTAACACATTACCTGCCCTGTGAGTTGTATTTAACTCGCACTAGTTTTGAGCCTGGGGCCTCGTGAAGTATATGTAACTCACATGTCTCTTCACCTTGGAAGCCACATGAACTATTTTTCAAGTTGCATATAACTCACACACAGAAAACAATAAAAAATAACCAATTTTTCATTAAATTAGAAAGGATCATTTTGTTTTCAAAGTTTTTATTCTATTTTCATAATAAAACACTGTGGTTCCAAGGAAAAAAATTTTGTTCTAGTGTGGCAGTGAATGTGTTAAATTATCTGGCACATGGATAACACTTACACCTTTGATGCAGGATTTTCTCTACATTTGTGTTCTTTGGTGATTTCAAAAGGGATCTGGTAGTGCAAACAGAATTAGGGGCCTGTGTTCACACATGCAAGTCCCACAACAAGAAATTATTCCATAATAATTTCTAGGATTTATTAAGTACTGTGTTCCAGGCACCATTCTAAGTCTTCTACATGCATCTAACACATCTAACCTTTCCATCAGCCTTATGAAATAGGTTCTATTATTGGTCTCATTTTACAAATGAGGAAACTGAGACATAGAGAGGGTAAATAACTTGTCCAGTGTCACACAGCTAATAAGTGGTAGAGTAGGGATTTAAAACTACACAATCTGACTCCAGAGTAGCTTTTAACCAGTACTTATTTATCTTTCAACATATATAAGCATAGATATGCCATATAGATATATACCTACATATATGTGTATATAGAAAATAAATACTCTTAATTCCATCAGTCTCCATCACATCTTTCTAAGCTGGGAGTTATCCTTGCACTTTAAGATGATGTCGACTTTTCAGTTTATTTCTCAGAGGCACCTGACTTTTTCATACCTCCAAGTTCTTAAGGGCTGCAGTGCTCTGGCCCCATGTGCTGAGAGCACTTGCTGGACTTCTCTGCAGCACTCAATATGACTGGCCATTCTTTCCTTCCTTAGGCTGCCATGGCACTGTGTCCCCCTAACTTTCTTCGTTACTCTATGGTTGTTCTTTCTCAAGATGCTTTACTGTCTCGTCTTTCTGCTCTTTGAATCTTGAGATTCTCTAGGGTTTTGTACTTAAACTTCTTTCAGCCCTTGCAACCTAGATAACCTCATCTACTCCTATGATTTTGACTGCCATTTCTAAGCTGCTAATTCCCCCAAGTCATATCTCATTTGAGTCCAGGTCCTTATATCTTGCTGCCTTCTGGACATCTCCTCTTTCATTTCAACAATTATTCTAATTTTTTATGTCACACTGTTTGTCACATCCATCTGACAAGTTTCTAATCCTGGATAATCCAACTGTCCTCTCTCTCCATGTCTGTAACTGAGTGGCTGACTACTGCTATAGAACATCACAGTCATCAATTCATGGTCACAGATCTCAAATGGACACTCAATGCTGCTACACAATGCTATTGCTTCTCTGTTCACCTGATTCTCCCACTCATCACAAGGGATATTTCTTTCTTTTTTTTTTTTTTTTGAGACAGAGTCTGGCTCTGTTGCCCTGGCTAGAGTGCCGTGGCGTCAGCCTAGCTCACAGCAACCTCAAACTCCCAGGCTCAAGCGATCCTCCTGCCTCAGCCTCCCAAGTAGCTGGGACTACAGGCATGCGCCGCCATGCCCAGCTAATTTTTTTTCTGTATATATATATATATATATATATATATTTATATATTTTTAGTTGTCCAGATAATTTCTTTCTATTTTTAGTAGAGACAGGGTCTTTCTCTTGCTCAGGCTGGTCTTGAACACCTGACCTTGAGTGATCCACCTGCCTCAGCCTCCCAGAGTGCTAGAATTACAGGCCTGAGCCACCACGCCCGGCCCACAAGGGATATTTCAAACCTTCTCTCATCTCCTTAAACCTCCAGCTCTGCCTCAACTATCTCTAAGATCAGAAAATTTGTGTAATAAATGCAATAAACACTTGTTAATTACTTGCCGTATCTCCTAATTCATAGAGAGAACTGAAGCCATCAGATAGAAACTGCCTCAAAATCTGGTCTGATTTTCCATCTGTTGAGGGAATGTGTTCTGACTGCCCAGCTAGACTCAATGGCGAGCCTTGCTTACAGAAATTATGTATTATACTTTTCTGCCTCGCTGGAGCTGAGCACAGGGCCCTGGGATATATGGAGACTTGGACCCTAGTTTCAAGTGATATCGTTCTGCGTTTCTCACCGCCTTGGCTTGTTTCTTGCAGCTGATGTAGAAGGCCAACCCTTGAGATACCGAGACAAGCGGCTTAGTTTAAATTTGGTAAGTTTGGCACTTGGGCTCCTTTAAGCCTGAATTTTACCAAAAATCTCCTGACCTATATATAACCCCTTCAAATCGTTTGAGACCCAGCACTCTGAATCTCTGGGGACTCTTCTAGTCTTCCCTTAACACTTGAACTTGTTTGGGAACTACTGGACTTAGTGTTCTATAAGGGTCCTGCCAGTTCTAATGTTCTAGACACTTGTTCAACTTGGGGTAGCTACTTAAGGCATCACATTATGCTTAAAGTATTTGCATAAATTCATAACCTTCTGTCTTCCACCATAAGATCTGGGAGAGTCAATCCTATGTACACACAATTATTCCAGAGGCAGAATTTGAGCTAGAGGCTTGTCCAACTTTCCTGAGGAAGTTCAGAGTTATTCTTGGATAATTTGGAACTGAAACCATATCTGCAGCCTTGGCTGCCCACTGGTAGCAGTTTCCATGATTGGTCTGTGGTTCCCAATCTGTACCTATTCTCTTGCAGCCAAGCAGGTTCTCCCCGATGTACCCTACAGCTTCAGCCAGTGCTGAAGACAGCTACATGCCTATGAGCCCCGCCACTGTCTCTGGTCTTGGATTCCACTGCAGCCCTGATGACTACATTCCAATGAGCTCAGGAAGCATGACAAGTCCACTACCTGAGCTACCTGCAGACCTGGAGCCTCCTCCGGTGAACAGAGATCTCAAGCCTCAGAGGAAATGTAAGGCACTTGACCAGGCCTGCTGTACAGGGGAAGGGGAGCAAAGTCCTGGTGGATGCATAGAAAAGGTTTCCTTCCTGACCCTCTCAGGGAAGGAAGATCTAGAGAAACCATTCCAGAGGGCTAGAAAATATAAGGGCAAGAAAGAAGTGGCTGGGATGGAATGGGAAGTGCTAGGGAACCTTGCTGCCCCAGATTGTCATGGTAAAGGAGTCAGAAAACTTACAGGCACTGTGGCCCTGCAAATACAGCCTATGAAGCCAAGTTCATTCCAGAGGTCTTATCTTTGGCTACTTCTCTAACAAAGGCCCAGGAATAAGTGATGATGGATTGGAATGAAATCCACTTGGTGTCTCTTCATTTAGACAGCACTTGGATGTATTCATAGTGTCAGCCTTCTGTAAAGCAGCCAAGGACAGCCTTTGACACAAATTCCTGAAGATCAGACTTGGTCACATACAATTTATCATTGACTGCTCTGTGCATACCCATCAGCAGAGGTGTTTGGAAGTAGGAGTGTTACACTCGGGCAGCTTCTCTGGTCTACTAAGCAGCATGGGCAGACAGGGAGGTAGAAGAAGAGAGAAAGAGGAAAAGCATGTCAAAGCAACTTGTTAATTTCATTCTTGCCCTGCCTCACCTGCCCAGTCGGCTGTGTGAGTACAAGGAAGCCTTTGGTATAATGACTATGATCTGACACTCTATCTAGTCCATTCCAACCTCTCTTTGCTCTTTGGAAAAACTACCACTTCAGGTGGCCATGCCCAAAGCTGCTACCTAAGCTCCCTACTCATGCCTGGTCCATTCTCATCACACCCACTTAAATTTGAGTCAAACCACATTTACACATTTGCAGTGTGTTTGCTGTGTGTGTGGTGCTATGCTGGGCACTGGGTGGGATGCAAAGATGAGGTTCTTCATTCTGACAGGAGGAAGCCATGTAAAAACCACCTGGATGAAAAAGTAGAATTATGAAGTCAGTACTAGATAGGAGAACAGACCTGTCTTATGAGTTTCTGAGGAAATAATTATTCATTCTGGTCAGAAACAATTTCACAGGGGCCTGTAACTTTGAAGTAGATATTAATGTTTCACTCAATTAATTTTCTATGGCAATGTGATCCAACAGAACTTTCTTGAAATGTGGCTAGTGCAACTGAGGAACTGAATTTTAAATTTTATTTAATTTTAATAAATTTAAATATATGTGTAAATAGCCACATGTGGCTAGTGGTCACTATATTGGACACTCCAGCTCTACATGACCTGGAGATAGGCAGACAGAAGATGTTTGGTGGACTCAGGGTTGGAGATTTAGTGAGTGGATGCAGGGGTGGATGCCCAGCCCAGGAGGAGTGGTTTCTGGAATGAACACTGCGGCCCAGGAGGGAGAGGGCTGGCGGTGAAACTGGAAGGTGGCTGGTGAGTGAACCCTCTCCCCAGGGACTTCATGACACATGTGCCCTTTCCAGCCCAGCCACTTGCCAGGTCTGAGGCTCCTGGAAAACCAATTGGACAACAGGAAGGTTACTGTCCTAGGCTCTGGTGACATGGAGGGAAATTAGAAGTCTCTACCCATGTAGTCTAGTAGAGGCAGTGACAAAGGAAGACATGCAGGATTGGCCACTGAGATGGAACAAGGATCAGGGCAGATGCCACATGCTTCTCTAGATGCCGAGGCTACTGCAGTGAAGACACCAGATAAACCCTTGGCCTCCTGGAGCACAGTCTAGACCTGAATCAAGTAATTATAAATGAATGTATCATCACAAACTGGGGGGAGTGCTGTGAAGGGTAAGTACAAGAATCTATGAGAGCCCATGATATGGGGCCTGATCATGTCTGGAGGTCAAAGGCCTCCCTAAGCAGGGGACATTGAGCTGAGATCTGAATATGAGTAACTAGGCAAAGAGATGGGGAAGAATGTTCTAAGCAGAAGGACCATTGGGTAAACAATGAGTTGGAGGTGGGGAAGACTAGAACCTGGGTGACCACCTCCGCCTGTGATAAGAAGGGTAAATTTGCATTTTAGATATGTCATGTGTGAGATAGGTGTTGGGATTCCACAAGGTCCAAGACTTTTGTCTGTGCATTACATACACTGAGTTCTCAATAAATGTATTTTGACTAAATGTGTCACCATGTTTTTACCTCCAGCAGGTAATGTGACCATTTGCTTGGTCTTTACTCTCAGTGGGGCAGGGAAGAGGAGGATAGTGAAATTCACACCCATCATCAGTGCTGCCTGTCAGTAAATTTGGACTTGGTGTGCTAGGAAAGTTTACTGCCTTTAGATTGTGGCCTAGATCTCCTGTGAACTAACCATACTAGATATTGTGTGCTGTCTTGTAGCACGGCCACCTCCCCTGGACCTGAGAAACCTCTCCACCATCCGGGAACACGCATCTCTAACCAGGACCCACACTGTACCTTGGTAAGTTTCTGATTGCTCAAAGGCACCTTGTGCAGCACAGATACCCCCAGGGTTAGTTAAGCCTCTTTGATTAAATGTAGTTGAAGCCCACTCTGTCTAGCTGAAGCCAAAGGAGGGGTGAGGTTTATTATCAAGAGCCAGAGGTGTTCTATAGATCACATAGGAAGGAATATAACTGGGTCACTCAGGATACTGGAACCAGGCACTGGAGTGTTGTTGGGAATCCAATACATCTGCTTCTCTCTTCATATCTGCTCCTTCCTTTGTCTTTGCAGAATTGGGTAGGATAAGGGAGTTCTCAGAGAAGGAAGAATGGTGATGGTTCATGGGCTGGATAGACAAACCCCAAAATGTACTTGTATTCTCTCATCTCACCTTTTAGAAATTGCATTTTCAGAGTCCTAAGCCCAGGAGTTTCTTGGTTCACTCTAATGCCATAGGACATGATCACTTTGTAAAGCAGAATTCTGCAGTGAGCTGCATTTCCAGCTAAGACTGCAGGGAAACTCAACCTGTGCTTGACTTTGAAGTAGGATGGAAGTTGATTCACACAGTGTTGTCTTATCAGAGGAGTGGCCTTACTTCCTTACTTTTCCTGGTTACTTTGAATGGAAACGAGAGGGCCAAAAGGAGCTTTTTTTTTTTTTTTTTTTTTTTGCTAAATTATATGATGCGTTGGTCTGTTTCTGGAAAGCTCATGAACTATGTCTCATAGAGGGCCTGGAAAAAAGCAGCCTTTGTGAGTTGGGATCCAATTGCCCCAGAGTGGGACAGAAACTGCTGGGCAGCCTCTGCTTCTTCAGAAATTGCTCTGGCCGGAAGGAAGCTGTATCTGGAAGGGGAGGGCAGAAACCCCATGGGGGCCATGTCAGTTCCTGGCTGGCTTTCAGAGCAGCTGTAAGACATTGCTTTGACCTCATCTATATTTTTGTTCTTAGCAATCGAACCAGCTTTCTCTCTCCAGAAAGAAATGGTATTAATCCTGCAAGATTTTTTGCCAATCCTGTTTCCAGAGAAGAGGAAGAAAGCTACATCCAAATGGTAACCTGTTTTTCCCACTCTTCTTATTCTTCACCCCAATCTACATTCTTGCAAGTTGATTATAAAGGAAACATCCTTCAGGAAGCCCTGTGCAATCTTAAAATGATCACTTGATTGTAAAACCAGGTCACAAGCTTTTCTCAATGGGGAACAAATTGATTTGAACCTGTTTTCTTTCCTGCAATATTCAACTCCTCATATCATTTTGAGACCACAGTATTTCAAGAGAACCCAGGGCTGAGGCATGCGAAACGGGAACATGGAAATGCCAGAAATTCTTTTCACCAAGGTTGTGATGTCCCATTTGACCCCAGTAGGTTTGTAGTTCCCTGGGTGTCCAGAGTCTAGGCTGTGAAAACTCAAATATTGCATCCTCCCTTCCACCAAAACACCTAGTAGCCCTGCCGTGATGTCTCTGAACTTTTCTGAAGGATGAACCACTGAGAATCCCCTTGGGGCATGTACACTGCCCTGGGCCATGGATGTATCTCTTAGCTTCTGGACATTACTGTTTAGGGCGTCTTTCTGTAGAACTGAGTGGATGGAGACCTGACCTCTCTATCCTTTGATTAACCATTCACAGTTCGAGAGTCCTACTGTCTGTCTCCTGCCCTGTTGTCCCTTCTGTTCTCTTTATCTTAGATGCTACTGAGAGCATGGGTTTTTGAAGATGGAGAGGGGCTTTTAGCACCTCTGGCAATTAGCTGCACTTGAACCAGGACTGTGCCCATTCTGCAATTTAGAAATGTAGGAAACACTAGAAAATGCTTCTGTTTGAACTATGAAATTTTGAAAAGAGGCCTTAGAAGGACAATGTTCAAGGCACTGTGCTATGTACTACTCTTGAGAAGATAATTCTACCCTCCTATATGTGAGGATAATGGGAAATCGAAAATCTAAAAATAGTAATCTCTAGTAAAGCAATAATTAAATGCTTCATTTTGCCTTTTTATTTGATTAAAAGTGTGCTGTAAGTGCACTTAACCATATACAGATGGAAAGTAACTCAGACAAATCTGCTGTGGTCTTCCCAGTATTTCTCACACTTAGTAATGGCCCTTGGGAGACTTCTAGAAGAAAACACTCTTACAAAGGATGCTGAACAGCTGCATTCTGTCTCCAGAGAACAGAAAATGGAAGTGAATCTAAAATCTAAAGGAAGCAAGTGCACAGTCATTCCAGACACCCGCAGTTCATTTCTGATCTTTGAGGTTGTGAAGAAGACCGGTATTTCATTAATAGCACAGTTAGGGAATGAGTGTTTGCCTGGGCTTATCACTGACCAGTGACTGTCCGTATGCATCAGAGTAGATTAAGAGCCCAGAACACTAGCTGAAGGTAGCTGTGAGGGAACAGCCACATAAAAATGTTTAAAGCCTATCCCATCTCATTCAATTATGTTTTTGTTAACTTCAGTAATAAGATATGACTTTGATTTACATTTTTTCATTTGTGCCACACAACAACCCTATTTGGAAGTCAAAATTAATATGATTTCACTCTTTAATTTTAACAGTTTTGTTTTGTTTTTTTGAGACAGAGTCTCGCTCTGTTGCCCGGGCTAGAGTGCTGTGGTGTCATCCTAGCTCACAGCAACCTCCAACTCCTGGGCTCAAGTGATCCTCCTGCCTCAGCCTCCTGAGTAGCAGGGACTACAGGCGCCACCATGCCCAGCTAGGTTTTGCTATTTATGGTGGAGACGGGGTCTCGCTCTTGCTCAGGCTGGTCTTGAACTCCTGGCCTCAAGCAATGCTCCCGTCTTGGCCTCCCAGAGTGCTAGGATTACAGGCATGAGCCACTGCACCCGGCCTAATTTTAACGGTTTTGTAAGGCTTTTATAGTAGAATTCTAGACTCTTAAATTTCACATTAATTTTTTATTATGGTATAATGTTTTTAAGTTTTTAGATTGTACGGTGAAATTGACTTTCTCTTGGTGTGCAGTTCTATGAGTTTGAACGTATGTATCAATTTGTGTAACAATCACCACAATCAGGATACGGAACAGTTCCCAAAGTACTCCTTCATGCTACCTCTTTATAGCCACACCCTCCCTCCACCCCCAAACCCCGGCAAGCTCTGATCTGTGCTCCGTCACTATGGTTTTGTTGTTTTAAGAATGCCACATAAATAGAATCATACAGTACCTTTTGAGACTGGCTTCTTTCACTCAAAATAATGTCTTCGAAGTTCATCCAAATGGTTACATGTGTAAATTGTTCTTTCTGTTTTCTTGCTGAGCAATATTCAAGTGTTTGGATGTGCCACATTTTGTTTGTCCACTCATTCATTGAAGGACATTTGGATCATTTCAAGTTTTGGGGCAGTTGGAACTGTTATAAACATTCTTTTACAGTTTTTAAAAAACATTTTTACTGTATTTATCATTGTAATCATTTTAGGTGCACAATTCAGTGCCATTAAGTACATTCATGATGTTGCATAATCATCACCACTGTCCATTTTCAGAATTTTTTCATTGTCCCGAGCAGAAATTCTGTACCCATTAAATAATGACTCCCTATTTCCCCACCCACAAATGCCTGGTAATCTCTGTTCCACTTTCTGTGTCTATGAATTTACCTTTGCTAGGTACCTCATGTAAGTAGAATCATACAATATTTGTCCTTTTGTCTGTGTCTTCTTTCATTTAGCTTAATGTTTTTAAGATCCATCCATATTGTAGCATATGTCAGAATTTCATTCATTTTTAGGGCTGAATAATATTTAATTATATGGATATACTACATTTTGTTTATTCATTCATCTGTTAATGGCCATTTGGGTTGATTCTATCATTTGTCTATTATGAATAATGCTGCTATGAATGTTAGTATACAAATATATGTTTGAGTTCCTACTTTTAATTCTTTTGGATATATACCTAGAAGTGGAATTTCTGGATCATATGGTAATTCTATGCTTAATTTTTTAAGGAACTACCAAACTTCTTTTCCACAGTGGCTGCACTATCTTACATTCCTGTCAGTAATGCACACAGATTCCAATTTCTCTGCAACCTCACCAACATTTATTTCCTTTTTTTAAAATAATAGCCATCGTACTGAGTGTGAAGTGGTATCTCATTGTGGTTTTCATGTGCATTTCCCTAATGATTCGTAATGTTAAGCATCTTTTAATGTGCTTATTGGCAATTTGTATATCTTCTTTGTTTTTGTTTTTGTGTGTGTGTGTGTGTGTGTGTGTGTGTGTGTGTGTGTGTGTGTTTTGAGACAGAGTCTTGCTCTGGTGGCCCCTGGTAGAGTGCAGTGGCATCATTGTCATCATAGCTCACAGCAACCTCAAACTCCTGGGCTGAAGCAATCCTCCTGCCTCAGCCTCCCAAGTAGCTGGGACTACTGGTGTGCACCACAACGCCTGGCTAATTTTTCTATTTTTGGTAGAGATGGGGTCTCACTCTTGCTCAGGCTGGTCTCAAACTCCTCAGCTCAAGTGATCCTCCTGCCTCGGCCTCCCAGTGTGCTGGGATTATAGGCTTGAGCCACCGTGCCTGGCCTTTATATCTTCTTTGGAGAAATGTCTATTCAAGTCCTTTGCACATTTTTTAATTGCATTGTTTCTTTTTCTTTTCTTTTCTTTTTTTTTTTTTTT